AATCAACTCAGTAGTCAGTATGGTGTTAAGCCTCAAAAACTGAAAGCAATAGACTTGGCAATAGACCTTTTACCCTTCCTGCAAATGGTGCAAACACAATAAAATTCCCTATAGGTAAATTTGCAAGGGATGCAATTTTAATATGCAAACACAATGGTGAAAACAATTAACAATATATTCAAGATGGCATCCTTAACCTAGCTACTTGCACATGGTGTAAAGGCTATAAAATGATTGATTAATAATAGAAATTAATTTAACAATATTTTACCTGAGATTCGACAGGAATTATTTTGATCAGTGTATGTCTTTTAGTTTGCCAGATTGCAAAAGAATATATTTTGGCAACTTCTTTCGGATCTTGGCCAAATATGGAAATAACGTTTCCTTCTCCAGAAACGTTGAACCAAGAACTATTTGCCAATGTCTACAACAGTCAAAATTCGAAGCTATTAATTTAAATATTTAAGATTGGCATTTTTAAATATGCACATATATTAAATTGTGACAATTGGTACATTTTTTAGCGTAAAATATGTAAATGAACATACCTTTGTATTCTTCTTCGATAAACAGGAAATATACCTTAACGTACATAACAACCTTGAAAAATCCTCCCTATTTGCATTATCTTGGCCATTTATACTGGCCATTTATACTGGCCATTACAACGGACGCCATCTTGGATGCGGGATTTCTGAGTCGCTTCACAGTCTATCACATTCCCATTAAGCCCCGCACTCCCATTGTTTTTCCACTGATCTCTATTCCCAACTGAAGCAACAAGGGAGGAGGCAGCATTTATCACAGGGTTAGATTTGACCATACCACAATATTGCAAATTAGGAATTGGTAATAAGATTTGCACAGTCGCTTGTGATTTTGTGTTGTGCAATTTTCCTTTATCTCATTTGAGTGAATGGTTTTCTTAAATGTATCTTCACAGGGTCTAGAAAGAAGACCATGCAGAGAGATATTGTAAACTTGGTCTTTGTTGTTAACTGTGTACTTTGTATATTTGTCCATCCCCATGTTGTGATTGAGGCTATGTGAGGATTGTAAGTTTATTCCTTAGTATTTAAATGTAGATGCAGTTAGGGTTATGTGCATGCTCACAGGGTCTTGAAAGCAAACTATGCCATGAAATATGTGAAGCATATGGTTTGTGTCATGTATCTAACTATTGATAGGTAGAATACCTAAAAGTAGATGTTGTACAATCTACAAAATTGTAGTTTAAAGAATCGGGCAGACCATTTGATTGTGCCACAAGGTGAAACCTTAGTAGAAATAGTTACCTTTGACTAATTGTCCCACTGGTTTGCAGTGGGCTTGGGTAGATGTTTTACAATATACAAGAAACGTGGCGCCTAGGGTCTGCAAAAAAGTTTACTGTACAATACAGAAGGAGCTTCAGCCTCGCAATCATTGGATTGCCATATATCTTGCAATTCTTTTCTTTTCATCCACAAGCACAGCCTATATAAGAACGAATTAGTTTTTATTGATAATGATAATGCATTCCTTACCTGTTTTGTCTGGGAAAGAAATTTTCTGAGCATTTTTAATGAGGCTGTCTATTAAAAAGGCTGTGGCCAGTTTAAATGCTACAGCATTCACACCAAAATTAGATGATAAATTAAGGAATCTTGTAGCAAATTAGAAGAATAAAGAAAACATGCAGGTTTTGTTATAAAAGAAGGACATTCAATTCATTGTATACAGCTATTTCAATTGAGGTTGTCCACGAGCAAAGTGGAAAAGTCTAATACGAGCGCGAAAGGCTGCTGGGAATCGCTTTGAAAATTCATTAATTTGTTAGTGATTCCCAGCAGCCTTTCGCGCTCGTATTTGACTTCTCCGCTTTGCTCGTGGACAACCTTAATTGAAATAGCTGTATACATGCAAGTATATAGTAAATTACTATACTGTGGGTGCATGCCTGAAAATGCAGTTAACAATTCATTGTGGAACTGGAATATTTCAATAGGTGTTTTTGGGAAGGTAAAGTCGAAATGTGTTTAATTAATTGCTCTGTAGAAAATGCTACCATTTGAGAGCATAGGCAGCCCGAAAATGCATCATATTGATAGCTACTGATAGCTTGGGAATTTAAAATCTTGTGTATGAAAAGCTTTCAATAATGGTAATAATTAATGTAGATTATCTTGAAACAGCAGCACGGCAGAAACAGGACAATGATGGTATTATTATTAATGTAGATTATCTTGAAACAGCAGCACAGCAGAAAAAGGAAGATGTTGTTAATATAACCGAACTGACATCTTGGCATCTGGATTAGACAAAGTAAAACAATTTGGCATTGGACAGAGTAAAATAATATAGTAGGGTGCATTACATTGCAATGTGAATTAATAGGTTAATATAAGTACCCAGACTCTCCTACAAGGCCTGAAGAGCAGGAAAAAATATATCTACAATCAGTGACATTGAAAGGTGGCGTGTTATTTTTGTAAAAATTGCAAAAATAAAATGTAAAACTTCCCTCCTCTATTTCAATGTCACTGTGTGTTCTGGGAGAGTTACATATGCAATACAATACAAAAGTACATGAAATAAAACGTCAATTGAAGACTAACAACATTAAAGGCGGAGCAGCATTATGTTGCAATCTCAAGCCTAACCGGTTCTCGTATTTGGTTACTGATTGTAGACCTAGGAAGTATAATCATCATCTTCGATTCATTGTCCCATATTTGCTGTCATATGTCATTACAGAAATTACATCATATCAGGCAACCTATCAAATTAATGTAAATTCCAGGCTAGGGAGTGTGTGTGTATGTGTATGTGTATGTGTGTGTGGGGGGGATATTTCTGATATTTCTGAACATAAACTATTTCTGAACATAAACACTAGCTC